TTCCGCTCAACCGATTGACTGACATGTCCAAGTCAATGAGCTCTGTCAGATTCCCCAGTTCCTCAGGTATTGTGCCGGATAAATGCTGGTTGTAGTATAGCTCAAGCTGCTGCAAGTTTTTTAGCAACCCAAGCTCCTTGGGAATCTGACCTGAAAGAAAATTTCCACTCAATTCAAGATCAACAAGCGATGACATGTTTCCTATTGATGCTGGGATCCGACCATACAACATGCAAGTCGTGAAGATCATAACTCTAAGCTTTCTGAGCCTGGAAATGTTCTCCGGAAGTTGCCATAAGTTTAATTCACCATTTTCATTGAAGTAGAGCACCTCAAGATTGGTAAGATTGATTATTGACATGGGGAAGTGACCTGTAAAGAGGTTGTATGACAAGTCAAGTACACGTAAAGATGTCATTTTTGAGAAATCCGGAAGTGCTGCTCCTAGGTATATAGAACTCATATTGAACTTTTCCAAGAGAGAGCAGTTAACAATGCCGTTGAGAAAATTGCCATGGAGATTGTTGCGGCTGATATCAAGAACACGCAACTCTGGTAGATAAGAACACACATCATCTGGAAAATTACCGGAGAGTGACCAGCCTGAGAAGTTAATAGTTTCAACATACCCTTGATCGTTGCAGCTAACTCCTGTGAAATTGCAATAAGTTTTCTCTCCATTCACATCCCAATCAGACAAGGCCTTTCCTGATAGAGAGGTTTTCAATAGGTTGAAGAACTGCGTCTGATCATGTCTTATAGCTAGAGAAGAATAAAGCACAAAACTAAGCAACACTAGAACGAGAAATATAGCTTTTGGTGCCATTTCATAGAAAGGAAAGATACAACTTGAAGAATAAAAGGAAAAAAAGAGGTGGTTGTTAAGGAGGTTGTTGCAGAGAAGAAGGTGGAGAAGGGAGTATATAAATGAGCTGATTGTGGGGATCTTTGGGTGCACCAGTCTCGATGATGAAAAAAAAGCAGGTTCTCGCTGTAGTACTGAGAGAGATGGAAAGAGGTCTGTGTTGTGCATATCTTTTGCATAAAGAGGCTTTTTTCTATGTTCATACCCCACTAACTCATGTAGAGGAATAACATCAATGTTATTACTTTATACAGATTAGATGTTAGAATAATCTGCAATCGCATGTCCTCTCGATCAGGACTCTCTTGATGTGATCAGTCCTGCTTTCTCTTGGATGGCCAGAGCCCAAAGTTCTACAAGCTGGAGGTATGTCACCAATATTGTCACTTGTATCAATATACTAATTTTGTTTAAGCATACCATGTGTACAATGTTTCTGATGTATTTTATGCAATCAAAAGCAAACGCATTTCAGGCATTACATGACAGATATTACGATTCGCCTATGCTGTACGCGGTGCACTAATATACAAACACAAATTATTTTATGGGGTCTTATATATTTGCTGTTTGCTTGCGGAAGATAATGCTAAATGTCATAGTTTCATTTCATGGCACAACAGGTATTTGCTCTCACGTGTGAGATAGATATATATATATATATATATATATATATAGAGAGAGAGAGAGAGAGAGAGAGAGAGAGCCAACAAACAGGACAACCACAAAATATGTTTGAAACTAAGCTGATCAGGATTCGTCATCAGCAGCATTATCTGAACTGGACTTGCATTTGAATCTGGTTTTTCCTCCAATACCTTGTGTATGTTCTAGCTGTACTTTCTTCATTTACTTGTAGACTTCCACCTCATGATACAACTGAATTCCGATGAATAAAATGATCTCGACTGTTTTCATGTATCCCTGGTTCTTTTTGGTTTCTGACCTAACTATGACACAAGTTGACGCATATCCAATTGGTCAAGCAACCTCATTTTCTTCTCTGAACCAACGCTAGCTTTCAAACAAGTACACTTCGTATCTTAATTGCACTAAACTCATCAACTGTACCATGGTTGAGTGCCAATTTTCACCAACCAGATTATCCAGGTTTGTACATGAAGAAAACCACACCAAGAATCATTTAGCAGTGTTCGTTTGGACTCTTGGCATCCAAGTTTGGACTCAAACTTTCCACCACGTGTATCTAAATATTTTATATTTCACTCATTTCCCTATTGTTTCTTCCTCCTGGTAAAAGCCACAGTGCATTAGAAAATTCCTTTCCAGGATAAAGGTTGGATAAGTTGGGGAATAATATATTCTATTATATAATCTTGTTGGGGAATTTGCATTATTCAGGCGGGACCATGTTGGAAATATTAATTGTTTAAGTGATATTTATTAGAGTTAATTGGGGTACAGAAAGTGTAAAAAAATGCAGTTTTTGCTTTGTCAGGGGACCACCATTACTGAAACTTTTCTGGATAGGATTAAGTTAAAGTACCAAAGAATTTCAAGTAAAGCTTCCATTTGCATGTCAATATTTCATGAAAAATGCGAATGAAAGAATTCAAAAGAAAAGGGAAATGCTGGGAAATGGTATAAGAACGACGCTAGATCTTTTTTGTCCTTTTTAACCCCCTTTTTTTTTCCCTATTAGCCAAATTATAACGTCCAGGAACCATTGTTATGGAAGGCTAAACAGGCCAAATATCACTTCACAAGATGAAAATAATGGCTAATAAAAAATTTTATGAAAGATAATCTTTGTTAATAAAACCTAAGGTTTGACTTAGATATTTAATTTTTTTTTGTTAAAAAAAATTTGCAACTTGAAGATAAAACAAAAATAAAAGATATTAAGATTTGAATCCAAATTTATTAAATATCATTTTTTTAAATATTATATAAATTAAATAAATTAAATATAGAATTTTTAAATATTTTACCTTCGACTTAACTATAAAAAACAGTAGTTACCAATAGTTTAATTAGGTTAATTTCTGTTATTTGCAAGTAGGTGATATGAAGTTAACTTGACAACCACTCCACCCTTAGAAGATGACAAAAGATTTGCAAATATATGGAAATTAAGTTGGATGCTTTACAAGCTTATAAATCATGTTAGTGGGAAAATATTCACAAGGCTTGAAGATTATGGATAAGCTTAGGATTTTTGTTCTTGGTAAAGGATTTATCATATTTTTTTTCTTTCTTTCTTTCTTTCTTTCTTCCCTCATTTTTGAGCTGAGAACAAGCTAATGGGCTTAGTTTCTTGAAGTCCATATGTCATTGAATGATATTGGGAAATGGGAATCTCTCTGTTGGATAAAGAAGAGAATAGAGATCTGCTCAATAATGGAGAGCAAAGCAAAGATGCCCACTCTCCAAAAAGTATTTGGTATTGATTTGGCAGCTTGGGAATTTGCTGCAATCTCTCATTTCCTTTTCTTTTTCTTCTTTTGGAGGGGCAAACAATGGCAATTGGCAAATACACAATTAAAAATCTTTGCTTTGGTGCTGAAATTGAAAACCATTTTCTTCATGGCTAAACAAATCAAAGTTGGTGACTAAGGGCCAAAGATGAGCAAAGAATATGTTATTATAGCTGACTTCAGGCTACGGCAGGCCGCGTCCCAACACAATTGTATGATAAATCTCCTTTATTAAAGAAGGGAGAACAAGCTTATTTTTTGGAGGGTCAATTCTTCTTTTCTCGAATTTGTGGCATTATGATTTGTTTCCGTAATGCATAATAGGGTTTTTGATTTGCCCTACAAAGTCAATTTATAATCATTTTATTGTTTATTAAATTGCACACAAGTGTTCGTCATTGTAATTAAAAATTTTTAATGCGTGTCTAAGCGTACACACATAATTATATATATACAATAAATTTAAATGTGACATTGTTTTCGTTCAGAACATTAATCATGATAATCAATTGTAATAGAAATGCGTAATAAAAGTGAAATCTGATATCATTGAATATAATTTTGTTAATTTATTATATAAATTTTATTTTGATAACATGATTTCCTTGTTTATTGCATCAATATTATCAGCTATGACTGATGATGATTAATAAATTAAGAAAAAAGAATAACTTTTGAGAGTGTGGTGAATTTTACTTTTCCAAAAGTATGTAAGAATCAAGAAATCGATGCATAAACAATCACCAACAAAAGCATAATATTTCCCCCATCAATCCAATTGACAGGCTAACTGTTTTAGCATGGTAGGGGGATTGGAGATATAAGATCAAATAGAGCTAATAAGAATTCCCTGCTTCCACAAAAAAAAAAAAAAAAAGTTTTAAAGTTTTAATTTTTTTATTTTATTTTAGGAGAAGATGGGATTTATGGGATGTGGGAATAATAGGAAAATTTTGTATATTCAAAACTCTATCATGGTTTCTTTTAATACACTCTATGTATTCAAGCATCTAGGCCCACAAACTTATTTTCGATAATTTTGAAGCCCATAATGACCATCAGGTTGTGGGTTTGTCTGTGTTTATAGGCCCAGGATCCACCAATCGACAATCAAAATCTTGTCTCAATGGGCCAAAGTCTGGCTCTCTTTGTTCTTGAGCATCAGACCTTAACTTATCCAAAACCCAACTTAGGCCTTGCTAGTCCATTTCTGTCACACTACTACTTCACGTGTCTTTTTTTTTTTTTTTACATAATTTATTATATTATTTTTCAAATATACTTTAAGGTTATAATTGTCAGCACTTAGTTTCGTTGGTAAAATTTTTAAACTCCACCATGTACGATATAATTTTTTTTTAAATGATCAAATATATTGATATTGAAAATTTTTATTTTACAATGGAAATTAAAATTGTATCACATGTTTTTTAAAAAATAAAATATATATTATAATTTTAATCTCATTTATGAAATTAAAAAATTTTAATATAAAATGGTTTTTTCCTTTTTTTTTAATTTTTTATACATATATGTATTTCTTTTGACAGATTGCTTCGAGAAAAAAATTCAAAAAGCATTTTGAAACCTATATGTAAGAGGATGGGGTTGGCAATTAGAATAGATTAGTAGGATTTGCAATCCATCCTAATTTTAATAAGAATCATGTATACTCAAAACTTATTATACAAGTTTGAACATTTTTCAGATATTTGGAGTAGACGCAACACCTTATGAATTATTGCTCTTTAGAGTTTAGATTATATGGTCATGGCATTGTCACTGCCTTCCAAATAATAATTGGATCAAATACGACAAATCTTTTGTAGCTCCCAAAATCTGACGAATTAAATTGTTTCAGAGAAAAACAAGGGTCAATTTCCATTTCCAACAGTGATTCAGACCAATAATTTCACAAGATTGTCATTTCCCCCATTGTTTTGGCAAAGACCTAAAGCTGAAGAAATTGGCATTTTCTTGCCTCATACATCTCAATTCCTAAACGAGGGAAGCACCTGCAAATTTTCCCTTATTAGCCTCCACGATGGAAAATTGTTTGTGCCAAAATCAAAGACTACAAAGCATAACAGCCTACTTACAGGCTCTAGATAATATTTTACAACTGATCACAAGCTTATCAAATTACCTGATATGTTACAAATTAATGCTACTACAATGTTACAAGATCTATAACTTTAGACTGAACTTCTTAGCAGAATCCTATTTTGCTTCCTTTTTCTTAAGGTCACCGTCCTTATTGATAATAATGCTCACCAATTTGCATGGTTCAGCCTCTTCCAGCATGTGAACCACGGTTCTCATGGTGGGTCTGAGGGCTGGCAGTGTGGTGGTGCACAACATGGCAATTCTCAACACCTTGACCGCATCTTCTTTAAAAGCATCAGGAATTCTTGGCTCCACTATACTTAAAACACTCTGTTTGTTCTTTAGTTTGCTGCAGACCCACGACACTATGTCCTTATTATCTCCAAACTCAGGCTCAATTGGTCTCTTCCCACTCACCAACTCCATTAGCACCACTCCAAAACTGTATACATCGCTCTTCTCGTTGACTTTGTAGGTGTAACCATATTCTGCAGAATTAACATTTTACCATTAACAAACGGAATCTATAAAAAAAAAAAAGTGCTTCATTTGGATGTTTAAAGACAGATTCCAGCATAATATGCTTAATATTATATTCTTGATTCTCATAAATCAAAGGGAACTTAAAAGAGTAAACAGTAAAAAGTAACATACCTGGAGCTATGTAGCCGTGGGTGCCTGCAATGACACGGGTGGAGTCTTTACCACCATTGGCCTGAACAATCTTGGCAAGTCCAAAATTAGCAATCCTAGGCTTAAAAAACTCATCCAACAATATGTTACTAGATTTGACATCCCGATGGATCACCGGCCTTTCGCAACCATGATGAAGGTACTCCAGTCCCTTAGCTGCCCCAACTGCAATCTCATACCGAGTATCCCAATCAAGCTCCATTTTCCTACTTGTATGCAATCGATCCCACAAGCTCCCATTAGGCAAGTACTCGTACACCAACAAGCTTGAGTCTTCACTAGTAATGCTGCAGTAGAGCTTCACCACATTGACATGTCTTATTGAGCTCAATGTCTGCACCTCCGCGTCAAATTCCTTTTCCTTTCCAGCACGTTTGCCGAGGATTGGGGTAGTACTCCGGCTCTTTCTGCGGCCATGAGAATCTGTGTTCCATATGTGTTTGACAGCAAGTTCCGCACCATTAGAAAGCATTACTTTGTATACGTTTCCAGACCCTCCTTTTCCAATCAGATTCTCTCGCTTGATGGAATCAAGAATTTCATCTTCAGTGAAAGTTAACACATGAAAAGACTTAAAATCCCAAGATACTTCCTTCAAAGAACGGTCGCGATATTTTTCTGTTCTCCTTAAATATAAGAAACATCCAAGAGAAGCAAGCAAGATCATTGCACCTAGAGCAAAACAAACTATCAGCAAACGAACATCTTTAGACATGCCAGAATCTGTTGGACATTGCTTGAAAGATCTGATAGTTGAACTGCAAAGGCCAGGGTTTCTGGCCAAGCTACCATTATATGCTTCAATGGAGAGAGACTCTGGTATAGGACCAGTTAACCGATTATAGGACAGATCAAAGAGGGTCAGCTTGAGCGACGAGAAGCTCTCTGGAATTTTACCGGAAAGTTCATTTCTAGACAAATTCAGAGAGTTCAATGTCGGCAAATATCCTAAAGATGATGGGATTTTGCCAGAAAGAGAATTATTAGCCATGTTTATGTTACTGATGGAAGCACAAGAACCTAATGACTCTGGTATAGAACCAGATAACCCGTTGTTGTGCAATTTAAGGCTGCTCAATCTTTTCAGTTCCCCAATTTCATGAGGGATTTTCCCCAAAATCTGATTGTTATTTAGCTCAATTTTAACCAAAGATATAGCTTCTGAAATCTCTTCTGGCAACTCACCTGATAACCGGTTGTATTCTGCTGATATTATCCCTATTTCTTTTGCGTTCTTGATATCAGATGTAATTGGACCTTCAAATTGATTGTAAGCAATGTCGATTATATTCAGATTTGGTAATCCCCATATTCCAGCCGGGACTATGCCTGAAAGAGAGTTGTTACTGACTCTAAACCGCTTTAAAGTGGTGCAACTTGCGTAAGTCACAGGAATTTCGCCGGTGAACCTGTTCTGAAGCATGAGAAGCCCCTTCATGGTTCCTTTCTTGCACATGTCCGGAGGAATTGGACCAGTCAAGAAATTCTCTGATACATCGATGAAGTCGAAATCAGCCCAAGAACCAAGCTTTTGAGGCAGAGGACCAGTCAACATGTTGGTGTAGAGAGACAGGTTCACCAGTTTTTTGAATTCACCCAACTCGGTTGGTACTTCACCCGTAAACTGGTTCTCAAATAGTTGCAGAGTCACCAGATTGGTCAAATACCTCACTTCTGAGATAACTCCTTCAAGATGGTTGGCTGAGGCATCGAAATATTCCAGGTTTGTCAGATTTCTCAATCCAACAGGAAGTTTTCCTGTCAATTCATTGTTATAAATCTCAAGCTGCCATAGTTTGTGAAGCTTTCCAATCTCCACCGGAATTTCTCCAGATAAATAATTGTATTGGAGCTCTAATTCTCTAAGTTCAGTGAGATCTCCAATTTCTGGAGGAATCTTCCCCTCAATGCTGCAATTCGCCAAATAAAGCCAGTTCAGTTTCTTTAGCTTCAGAATCTGATCAGGAAACGGAGTTCGGTTGAAAGGATTGTCCCCGAGGCTAAGAAGAGCAAGATTGGTCATGTTTTCAAGCGATTTCCATGGAAAAGTGCCAGAAAATTCGCTTCCATTCAAATAAAGGTACTGCAATTCGCCGAGAGCCGAAATATCCGGAAATGAACCCGTAAAAAGATTGTTTCCAAGATCCAAATATTGAAGCTTTACGCAATTACTCAAATCTTCCGTGATTGCACCATATAATAAATTGTACCCCAAAGAAAGCTTATCCAAGGATTGGAGCTGGCATATTGAATCCAAAGGAAGAACACCCATCAGCTTCTGACTTGAAAGCTCGATTTCCTTAACCGACCCCTCGGCGTTGCAAGTGATTCCATCGAAGCTGCAAACAGAACTGGCAGCCTCCCATGAATCAAGAACATTGGTGCTTGATTTATTAAGAGCAGATTTCAGGTTCAACAATATTTGGAGTTCATCAGATTTTACACAACAAGGTAAGTAGAAACAGAACACGAGACATAAAGAGAGAGCGATTTGGCGGTAAGAACAGGCGTTTGACATACCGGGGTTTGAAACAGATAAAGAAATGGACAGACTTTTCTTCAAAGGGTTCCGAAGAAGAAAAAGAGTGGATTCAAGGTAGTGGCATCTGAAGAAAGGTGGCGGGTGGGTGTTCACAGTGACTTGCCTTTCTATGCAAACATCGTTAAGAATGAGGACGGAAATGTTGGTTGCTAAATGGGAAATCGGTCATTATATTGGATTTGGAGGGAGTTATTACATGGGGTTTCATGTTTCAGTTACAACGGTCATTGTTTTGTAGTAAAATTCTAGAAAGGGGTAATATATCATTTAGCCCCTGAATTATTATTTTTTTTAATATGATACCTAAAAAAAAATTTAATCATGTACCTACTTTTTTTTTCTTGTTTTAAGTTACCTAAACTCTTTAACATTATTAAAATAATATTAATATAATATTTAAATACCAATATAAGTGATATATAATTATCATGTGATTATCACATGTTACTTTTTAAAAATAAAAAAATTTAATTTTTAATTTTTATACTTTAAAAATAACATATCATAATTATGTGATCCACATTAAAATTAAAATACTACATTAATGCTATTTTAAAGAAGTTAAAAAATTAAAACAATTTTATACACAAACTTAAAATTTAAATGTTTAATTAAAATTTTTAATTTAAATATTATATTAAAATATATAATAATTTAAAAACCAAATGAGATATTTTTTTCCTTCAAAACTAATAGGTAAAACAAAATTGTTTGCAACACAAAAAGTTTTAATCTGCTGTTACTGTTCATTCAAGGTACTGGTCTGTTCTTATCTCCAAAGCTGTGAACTAAAGAGGTGTCCCCACTCCGTCAACGATGACAGTAAGAAGAGTAGGCATAGGGTCGTAGGCAGTTGACTGTAAAAGACAAGGGAAGACTTGAGATAGAGGTGAAAATAATTGGAGGCTTTTCACAAATGGAGGAGAGGAATAACGAAGGACCAAAAAACTTATTAACTATGGTGTGTCAATGGTGGGTAATTAATCATGCGTGGTGGAGCCTGGATACTGAAGGGAGTGGAAGGAACACGGAAGATAGTCAAGCCGCCGACGTTGACTTTCTTTTGTTAAATAATTAGTGTTTAAGTTTAATTTATCTTAACTAATTAGTTTGAATTTGACTCTTAACCAGATTCCAACGTACGATCTGATCTCTAGTGAAAATGTGAAAAAAATGTAAATTAAAAAAATAAATTTTTTAGGAAAAAGAACCCCAAAAAAAAAAAAAAGAGAAAGGGGATTATTAGACGGCAGCATATCATTATCCCAATCTTTCTACATAATAAGTTTTAATCTATAAATAAAAATTCAAACTTTAAATCTATTAAATATTATATTTTAAAAATTATTATATAAATCCTAATTTTGGTCTCCAATTTGTTCCAACAAAAATAAGTCTAAAAATAATTAATATATATCCATTTTTGCAGTCTCAAATCCCAAGACCAGCCGTGTGAAATTTGGGACAGATTTCACTACAAAGTCCAAATTTGTTTACCAAAAAAGTACGGCCCATGGAATCTAGAAAATCAGGCGCCCAGCGAGATGAAGGAAGACACCCATTGTTTTGTTCATCATCAGTCACGGGGCCTGGGGACAGTCAAAAGCTCCTTGGGGCCACTTCCACAAAAGGCGCATTACTGAAGCCAATGAGATATTTTTTGTGTAACTTTTATATTGGACTACAAAGGTTTCAGTCGGCTTTTATAAAATAGTTTCTTCTTTTTCCTTTTTTTTTTTTTTTGCATTTATAGAAATTAAGCTATTGAAAAAAGCTGTGAACTTAATTTATTGAAGGAAAAAAGAGCAAAATTAAGGACAATATAATATGAATATTTTGTTCCATAACAAGTTAGAAAATATTGCCTTTTTTTTTTTTTTGGTGTGACATTAGGTTCTTGATAAGACTATGCTTTCCTTGGTTGTTATACCAAATTAAGATTGCTTTATGACTTTAACATTATTGAGGGAATATTAGTGATAATTAAGAATGTAACTTCTTTTTTTTTACTTTTTAAGTTACTTATTGTAACAAAAAAAATTGTAATTTAAAAATAAAAAAATTATAAATATCAAATTTATTAAATATTACATGATATATTACAATTATATGATCGTACTTCGAATTAAAAAAAAAAAAAAACTTTTGCACTCAATCATTTTATTGTAGAAAAGTTTCTAATCCATATGTAAATGGAATATGACAAATTGCCACGAAATCCATTTGTACACCAGTAGTCCAGTACTAAAGAAGATAAGAAATCCAACTTCCATTTTTCTTCTTAGTAATTGCCTTGATGGTCATGATCTATGTGGGTACAGTCCCTTACACTTGGTAATTGAAGAGATTTACATTCAATTTATTAAATATTATTTAGTTTAATTGAAAATTTTATAGAATCAAGATCATATTAAATATTAAAATATATAAAAACTCAAATTATTATCCATTTTGATATGAAATTTTTACTGTTTTACTTTACTAAAAATGTCTCAAAAGTAATTTAAATATTACCTTATATATAATATCATATTATCAAAATATCTCATGAAATTGGAGTATCACAGTAACTACTCATCCTAGTCCTTGTTTCACTTGTCTTGGTGCGGCTTTTTCTCCTTTACTAGGCAAAATTGTATCAATAGCAACTCTGCGTGCAGGCCTTTCGGCCAAACTATGTCCTGAGCTGCTTCAGCTTGTTTAATCAATTGGCAAGTCAGACAAGGTTTAAAATGTTTCTTATCATATGAATCTTATCCTAAACTTTTATCTTTTTTATTAATGTATGCTGTTGCTTTTTTGTCTTACTAAAAGATGAATTGCTTGGGCAGAAGGGAAATGACTTTTCTGAAAATGCCATTTTAAACTTAAAGAGTGCTTTTTCTATGTATTGTGATTAGCCAATTGTCATGACGAAAGTTGACTGAGTCAATTGGTCAGAGTCAATGGCTTTATGACTTGGGAACAGAGACCGTTCAGCAATGGAGGAGACAATCGTTCAATCTCTCAAGGAAATTCTTTGAAATTTTGAACAAAAAAAGCATTCAACCAACTAATATTTGTTATTATTATTATTATTAAAACATGTCCCGATTGCTGATGCTGGAAAGTTCCGATGTGAGAAAAGAGCAGTGAAACCTTAATTGATCGCACCAGAAAGAGTATGAATTGATCATCAGATTCTGCTCTTAGTCAAGCCAAAAATGCCAGAAAAACCCAGATGATCAACAATTAAACATGTGTATATTTGCCAGTTAAAGAAGCAGGTATCTGTTTGGATTCCCTTGATTAATACTAATTAATAAGAAAAAGGGAAGAAAGGGACCAAGATGATCATTCTGAATATCCAGCGGCATATATTTAATCTTTTGTCCTTTTAAATAGAAACATGAACACCGATGATCACAACTCAAAGGCAGGCAAGGCAAGGTCCAATTTTCCATTCCTTTCACAATTTTCCGACACTTTCAATTGTCTCCAATCCATCAGATCAGGATCAGATCGGCTTCCAATTCCATTTCTCTCCTTCAACCGACTACAGGGAGGAAAAACAAGAAGCTTGTGTTCTTGTCCTGGCTATTGATTGTGGCGCGATTCATGGGTCCATTTCTTTTTGGCACCATGCAACTTAAAACTATAAACAAATAATTCTTGTTGATTCATAATCCATCACTTGTTCCTCAATCTTTGTTCAACGACTTATTTCCTTCTCACTAACCCACTTCATTAAAGAACTTTGGCCACCCCATTCACTTTTCCAATTTTTACATTTCACTTTGGCTTATCTTTTTTCTTCTTTTTGCAGATATCTAAAGCAGCTTTTGACCTTTCCAGTGGTCTAGAAAATCACTTTATAATTGTGGCTGTGGCCCCTTTAATGCCTAATTTCAACAGTCGATTCAATGTTGGCTTTTTTTTTTGTTTTTTTTTTTTAATTTCAGAACGACGGAGAATGATTTAACTTGCCTTTTTCAAGGTTTTTTTCCTTGTCATTTTCATGTTGATTAGAGCAGCTTCAGAATTATGGCACCAAAATTATAGACCATTAGCTAAAATACTATAATCTTTCAACATTCATGAGATGGTCTTTCTAAGGGAGCTAGACCCCAGGCGACCTGGACCATTTTAGAAAAAATAAAAATCAATTCAGGAAAAGTCATCAATATTGATCAAAAGTTTGAACGTTGAAGTTTGATACATCAGGCGTGGCTCATAAATCACCATGAAAATTTGTTGCCAGAGATATGGCTCATTTATGATTTACTCATCTCAAACATTGATTCCTTTAACTAGTGTCTATAGGCACTTGTTAACTTCATCCCAATTAATTATCTTATCTTTTAAACATTTTAGAAAGAAAACATCATGTTTAATTCCACATTAATCAATTATTTCTGACCCGTTTATTATCATATATCTTATCTGGATGGAGAATTTTCTCATTGATTATGTTAGATTTAACCGAGAAAATGTTGTAGAAGTACTCTTGTTAATGCATAAAATTATATATAGTCACTGTCCAAATTTGACTATCACATTCATATCATTAGTGGAAAAATAACTTCGTCAACATTCAATGTTCCAACAATTATATGAGTGGTAGAAATTTACTAATATCTTTTGAAAATGACTTAAATGGTACAAATTAAATAAGAAAAAAAATATAATTCCCAAAGTAAGCAAAAATAAGTCCAATTATTCAAATTTAAGATCAATATGATTTTAATTAAAATGATATGTTAATAGAGTGTTGAATTATTAATTTTAATGATAATAATTTAAATCATAAAAACTACAAGTACAAAAAAAATTATATTACTTTCGTTGTGAGATTTAATTAAATTAAAAAATAAAAAAAAAGTTACTATCTCCATTTTTTTTTTAACTCTTAATGACCTCATTATTTTAGTCCATCCTTTAATTATCATAAGGAGGAGTGGGGTTGGAGGAAGGTCACTAAAGGCTAGAGATGAAACAAAAACCATGCCTTTTGCAATCTGCGGCATGATCCATTTTTTTTTTTTTAAATTGGGTCTTTTGACTTTCAACATGAATTATTGTGATTGGCAATAATTTTCTATTAAAATAAAATTAATATTTGGCAGTGCCTTGTAGTGCTTCATTAATCACATGCATAATACATTCCTTACAAA